GTCAATTTCCAAAGTGTCGAGCWTGTGGCAGCAAGCGTCCTCAACAGCAAAAACACCAAACAAGTGGACAGCAGTGAAGGTGGCGCTGACAAAGATTACCAAGATGATGATGACTACCATGATGGTGACGATGATGACGATRATAATGATGGCAATGCGTCCATTGATGCCATCGAATTTGTGATCAGTGATTACCAAACGGAGAATGACATCAAATATCGAGAAGCAGCGCATATTGGCAGYGGGGACCGTGAACCCAACAGCATTGCTGTGACTGCCGATGTTGACGGAACGTTGGATGCTGATAATGTGTTGCAATACAAGCTTGCCAAAGCGGAAGCTGCCGCTGTTGAAGCGCAGGAAAATATCYAGAACTACAATGCAGAGCTGTTGAAAACCGAGACAGAATCAACAAAATTGAAAAATGCCAGCGGTGAAGTTAGTGACGCGAACAGCGATGATACTGAAGATGACGACGAGGATGACGGCAAAGGCGGCGGTGGCGACGACGCTGACAGTGATGAGGACGAGGACGAGGTCGAGGTCGAGGAAATGGCGGATGTGAGTGGTACGGCTGCTGATGCTGAAGCGGAAGATTCCTCTGCAGCTGATTCGATGATTGCTGTCGCAGCTGCCACTAGAACGAACGGCGACGACGTCAAAAGCGCGCAGAGCAATGCATCGCGCTGACACCGCTKCATAAGCGGATATTACAACGACAAATTGGTGGCATGCATTGGCAAAGACGGAAATTAGTTCATTTCTAAATGGCAACTATTGCGCAGCGTATATGAGGCAGCTTTGCCAACACAAGCTACATATGCACATGCACGATTTGAGCGGGCGGAAATCGCGCGGAAATCAAAGGAAATGCAAAGTAACCGACCGGATGTGGACGAAGGCGACGAAAATGCGTGGACCCACAGTTARGTGCGGATGCCAGTGACCACTAAGTGGGCAACGGATTAAGTGTGACCGCAATTATGCGAGAGTGTGGGTGTGTAATCAGTATATAAGCGCTGTATTTGCGTGTAGTAGTTGTAGTAAACAGACTGATTTAGACTARTTTAAAGGCGGGTAAGATACTGTTAAATATATGTATTTCATTTGGAATTGAAAGCCATTTTAATGTTTAAATTATTATTTTGTGACAAATAAATACAGTCATAAATATTTATGATTCCGCTTATTTACATACTATATTATCATTTTAATTTTTTTTTGATCTGCTTTTCGGTGGAAATTTATTTGCGGTCCCCTTCGCTGGCTGCATTCTGCGTTATTTGCGGCTGCCTGCCGGTGTTGTAGATGAGGTCAATAAAGAACGGCGGAAAGAGCGCTAGTTTATAGCCATTGGTCGGCACCAACTGGCTGCCGTTGTAGCGCTGCGCAGTCTGCACTACCTCCCCGATTCGGTATTCGCTTTTAACTTCACTTAATGTCACTTTGGAGAGACGACGCAGAAATTCTTCATCACTTCGCGTTAATTTTGCCAATCCTCCAATTATCAGCGTAAAAATGACAGCAGTTAATAGCTTATGCGAAATCATTCCAACAACCCGAATCTTGATTAATTTATCTACAAATGCCTGCGGTCAACGAATATTTTTGCTGGCACTGCGCGTGAARCCGAAAAAGAGTCTAAATGTGTCATACTGCGGTTTTTGCTGCGTGAATTGAAAACGAAAGTGAAAGTTGCTTATTTTGATACTTTTTCAGTTTCCCTTTGCTTTCGCGTTCCTTTGTATTCGCACACGTTCCATGAAATAATATTGATGATATATATATCTACATATATGCATACACATTTAATCTTAGTATTAGCTGAACTTCACTATTAATGGAGCTGGAATTTGACTCATACGAGATTTCAGACGACGACACAAGACAAAGTGAACGACTGTGGTAACCGCGTTGGTCAACGAAACCAACCGATTCTTGTTTAGTTTACTTTCACTAGCGGTCATCGAACTCTTCAACGAAAACAAGTCGAAATCACTCAAAAAAATAACAAAAAAAAAGTGTTAACTTCGGTTGTATCAATGCAACTTGTAGTGCCTCCACCTCCATAGATCGACCTATCGCTGAAAAAGTCGATGAAATTATGGAAAATATTGACCAGAACCGTCACATAAGCAGCAATGACATCACTAAGAAACTTAACATTCATCATCATATGGTTTTGAAACATTTAAAAAAGGCTGGCTACACAAAGGAGCTCGATGTTTGGGTACCACATGAATTATCTGTGAAAAATTTAATGGACTGAATTAAAATCGACGATTCGTTGCTGAAACGAAATCAAATCGGACCATTTCTGAAGCGAATGGTAACAAGAACGAAAAGTGGATCAAATACGACAATGATGTCCGAAAAAGATCGGGGTTCAACCGTGGTGAAGCCCAACAAATCGTGTCAAAGCCAGSATTGAAGCCTTGGAAGATTATGCCGAGTATTTGTTGGGATTGGAAAGGAATCAGCCACTATGAGCTGCTCCAGCCTGATAGAACGGTTGATTCTACATTTTACTGTCAACAACTGATGAGATGGAAACAAGCACTCGAAAAAACGGAGAGAGATCATCATCAGATAGACATTTGTCTTCCATCAGGACAACGTTAGACCACACTTTCTTTGATGACTTGGCAAAACTGGGAGAGCTTGGCTGGGAAGTTTCGATGAATCCACCACATTGCCTTGAACTTGCACCATCGGACCATCATTTGTTCTGGTCAATGCAGAACTCCCTTAATGCAGTGAAGTTTGCTTCAAGAGAAGACTGAAAAATTGCTTGTCGCAGGTTTTCGGCGAGAAACCAGAAAAGCTTTACATAAATTTGTTATTGATTTTGTTGGTCAGTTTRTACGGCAGCTATACTGACAATAGCTGAACAAATTTTTTTGGAAATTATAAAAATATACTAGTGATCCCTAAAACATCCCTCTCCTAATCCACTCTTCTGGCAATTAATTATACCTTAATATAAATTTTGTTGTGAGCTGCAAAACGTTATTGGTAATCGAAACACGCCGACTGGTAAACAATCTTATTTGGACTAGCCACACAAACCGCTTTCGCTTTAGCAAACGGCTGAATAATTGGCCCACGTCGCTTCGCTTTCAAACGCTCAGAGGGTATTCGTATGCTGCCGCTCTGTGGTATTTGCACATCTGAGTACTTCAGCAGTACACTATCAGGAAAAGAGTGATCCATATGGTGTTTGTCAATACTGGAGACTTGTGTGTTTTCACAAGGAAAATAAACACATAAAGGCGGTTTGGCTTCCGCGTTAGCAGTCTGGATCTCTCAAGCCCAATTCCCTGGATGCGCCTAACAAAACCAGMTGGTGGTTGGATGGGACTTTCGCACATCCAATAAGTAGGTACAAGATTGTAGAAGCTCTCAAGTCCTGCTGGCGGTTGTGAGTTGTCAGCCATGGGGCTTTCTTGGCCTGCACAAGGCCCAGTGTGTGTTAATTTTCTCACAGAAACCTGTGGGTGGCATCACCATTTCACCTGTTTTGGCCGTTCTGGTGTGCACTCTAAGAGAACGCTCAARTCGCTGAGGTCTTCACTTGTTATGCAAGCCCAATGACTAGCAAACTGATTACAAAAAGTATTTGGCGGCTTCACGGGCTTCAAGTAAGCGTCTGAGCAGAAGCGCTTAATAAGTTCGTGGCAGCGCATGGGSGAATGAAGGGTTCACAAAATTGCGTGGGTAGTTCAGGTATGTCGGAGTTATTTTCGAGGTTGCACAGAAAAACAACGRCTTCGCAGTAATCAGCTTTCGTTACCAATGGGGTTAGAAATTGAAGCCTCGAGGTCGGCCGATGAAAGTGGAGKTAACACTGCTAACGATGTTGATATTGTTGGCTGCGACATTTCAGAGGCATCTGGGGATGGTGGTAGTGCCGTTGATGGTGATGATAACGGATCTGTCGGAGCTATTGGAGATGGCGATGGTGATGACGTTGCTGATATTGCTGATGATGGTGAGGTTAGTTGATCTGCTAATGTTGACGGCGATGCAGATGACGATGGCAATGATGACAGCGAAGGCGATATCAATGGCGATGGTGATGGCRATAGCGAAGGCGTGGATTATAGTGATGCTGATATTTCAGGCTGTCTCATTTCAGTCACATCTAATGATGGTGACGGCAGTAAATCGAATAATATCGAAGGCGATGGTGGTGGTGATTGTGAGCACCTAATCCCTGGTACATATGGCAATGGTGGATATGTTACTGGTAGATATAGCGGATACCATGGTGGTGCTATATACGGTGGTGGAGGCTTAGCATAAACTGGAGACGGTACTGGAGGTAGGGCTGAAAGGGGTAGCTGATATGACGGACTGCGATGTTGTGGGTTTGGAAGTGGAATTCGATGTCTGTTGTGCTTCCTACGTACCACGGTAATAATTTTGATATTAATTTGAAGTTCTGTATTGTTTTGTAGTCATTGGTGAACAATAAGCTTTCTATCCTCAGAACGGTCGTGTGGAGTGAGTCTTTTTGTTCATAGCACAATGCAAAGCCATGCAGTAAGAACAATAAACCAACCGACAAAAGATCAAATTTTTTGTGCGAAGACAATCCCGATGTAGATTAGAACACCAAGTTCTTTCCACTTAGAAAACTATTGACAAACTAAGTGAATGTCTTCTTAACCAAATACTATTTGTAACGATATTGTTCACTAATTTCTTCAGCAGACAAAGCAACAGCAGAACTGTTGGTAGACTCTCTTGCTAACTTTCATTCAACTATAATGAGTGAGTAATAAAAAGCCAGAGTCTTTCATTCGATGGTTTGTTTCGGAGCTCACAAAACAATATTTTATTTATAGGTTCAGTAGAATAACAGTAAAAATGGTAACGTTATGCCTAAATAAATTATTTCAGTAACTAAAAATAGCCAATTTTGCTTTGCTTTTGCTATAACAGTTACTATAAAATTGCACGGTTGTTTCTTGTAACTTCGCATCGGCGAGGTATTCCTATCCAGTGATTGTCCGGTTAAAAAAGTACCATGGTGGAAAGTTGTAGTAAAACGGTGGGGGATAATATGGTGATGGATAATAAGGTGGTGGATAATATTGTGGCGGATAGTACTGTTGTGGAGGATATGATGGTTGAGGATAATAATTTGGCTGTGGTCCATAATGAGATGGTTTTGGACTAGCTACTGGTGGAAGTTGCGGTGACGCTACATACCAGTGCGATGTATGTTGCCACGATGGCCGACCATAATAATATTCATCGCATTCGTCACTATCTTCTTCGTCGTCATAGCATGGTCGTCTTTTCGGTGGCCGCCTAGCGGGTCTGCGATGGTGGTGATGATAATGATGCTCATGGTGGTCATGGTGTGGTCTTTGGGTGGTGGCTGTCTGCAGAGCCAGTAGTGCGCCCAAATCACGTGGACCCTCTGCGATCGGCACTTCAAGAATCACGGAACCCTCATCCTCAAAGCTGTAGTCCGGTTCGTTTACCTCCTTTTGTGGTATCAGCAGCGTTTGTAGTTTGTTGCTTTGTGTGGGCGTTCGACCGCCTTTGCTTGTCACTGTATGGAGCAGCAGTGCCGTTAGTAACACGCTGAGCTTAAAACTGTAAAGCATTTTGCTTATCGCGGCTAAGCCGTTTGATTGATGCCGTTCGATTGGTGAGGCACAACTAGTTTAGCAAATGTGGCCCACAGCCTATTTATATGTGGTCGAGTGTATTAGGAACGCTTCTTTTGCGGTTTTCTTTTTTATTTCTATCCAATTAAAGCAAATAATAAAAAAAGTCGAAGAATATATGAAGTTCTTCGCTTTCTTGCTTTCAAAAGTCTTTCGTCTTTTATAGATTTTCATTGTCGTTCTGGTGATAGGTTCTATATTACATGGGCAGTCGGAAATTTTGCGGCTTCCTACTTCACTTACTTATCTAACGGTCTAGGTGAATATGGAGTATAGCTTTAAACTTAATGTGTGGCCTATGCATTACACACTTCACGCACCTCTTCGCTTGTCTGTGAGGATGTCGAATTATTCGTTGCTTCGTGTGTGGGTGGCGATGTCAACAAACGACTACATCTTAATTAATTCACTTGTTTGTTTCGTCAGCTTAATAGTTCCGTTGATTCGCTCAACTTGCCAGCTGTAAAAATTGTAACTCGACAACTTTTAAGTGTCACTTTCAAACTTTCTTCCGATTGCTAACTGTTCACTATAAATAGTACCACGCTTGTCAGTTCCTCTCTCAGTTATCCACCAGTGCCGCAAACTTCAGACGAAATGAGCTTATCTTGTCGAATTTTATTCCTCACTTGCGCTACATTGTTCGCCTTGTTTGTTCCGTTAAGTGCGCGCGTTGCACCAACAACAAGCAACACTGGACAACAGAAGACACTATTGTGGCTGAACTTATTGCAGTTGGCCAGTCGCATTCAGTCCGATGAAATTGCCGCGGCGGCAAATGGAACTGCGTCCGATCCGCTCTCAGATGATTACAGTTTGAATAATGCTGACTCTGCTGATGAAACCACACTTCCATATGGTGCCGGGTTGTATCCTGTATTGTTGCCACTCTATCCGTCCACGTATGTGCCACCATACGCATCAGTTCCTCTTAGGCAGCCGTATCTCGCCGATGCCACAGATGAGGACACACTCATACGTGCCGAGTTCATAAAGGGTGTTTTGGAAGGTCTGCAAGGCACTGGCGCTGTTGCAGCAGATATGAAAATCACTTCAGACGAAATGGATAGCAATAAAGTCTTAAGATCAAGCTCAAGAAGAATAGGTGGCAACGCAAGTGAGCGAAAAAAGCTGATACGTAGAAAGCTGCCTTTTGTCTTATTAGAAGACGCGAACGCGGCAGGCAGTGAAACTCCACACACCAGTGGTGACACCGAGCAGAGCTACAATATTTACGAAGTTCATGTAGTCTAGCCGTTTTATGTTATCGAGTGCACACCCTGGATCAGTTTTATATCCGTTACCATAGCTAAACTAAAATCACTATAAACCTTGAGAAGAAAGTTGAAGTGAAATAATTGCAAGTTAAGTTTTTTTTTTTTTTAAGTAGAGAGTGTTTGTACGAATTCAGGTAATTTTCTACCAGAATATAGTATTTATAAAAATATTTTTAAGTGTTATACTATGTACATAAATATTTATACAAATAAAGAATTTTTGGTGAAATATGGTGAGATGACCGCTTTTTTCCTTATATCCTCCCCGCTTTAAATAGATTATAGATCTCCCTGATCCTATGCCGAGTCAACTCTTCGCGGGCTTCGTATATTCGTGCGATTTTTGTTACAAAATTTGACAGTTTATTTAAGAAAAACCATCGAAGGACGGCTCACCTGAAGCATGGTATAACATTTTTTTGAGAAACAATCCTGATTAATTGCGTCGGCTTGGCCTTGGCCGAAGCAAGCCAACTTTTGTTACCCTGCTCTAATGTTATCGGTAACCCATTGATGACACTTTTCCTCGACCACAACAAAGGGTAGTCAGAAGAGGCAAGGTCTGAGCTATCAGGCGAGCCCCGACCAATGTTTGCCAGATAGTTTCAATCAGTTTGCATACATGAGGCCGAATGTTGTCATCCCTCTATGAGTTTTTGTCGGTAGAGGTTCCTCTTAGAACCGAACTACCATGACGTCATGGATATTTAAGTTTTTCATCAAATTGGCAGATTGGGTACTTATCACATATTATTCTTTGAGTTCTACGTTGTCGTTAGCAGATATAATTCGAACTACTTTTTGTGGCTTACAAGCAGCATTTCTGACATGCAAAACCGTCTTCCGAATATGTTCACTCTAAACTTCCACGAAAATACGATGACTTTTGGCTGAAATAAGTCTTGTCATGCAATAAATTTTGGTCTATGGCGAAAAAGCAACTTTAGGAGGCTGTTACTTCTTAAGGGAGATTGTTGTGGTACAAAATGTTGATGAACCAGAAGTAATATTTATTTAGAATAAAGGTAGCAAAATAGCAGTTTGGGATATGCGAACCATTTTTTTTTTATATATAACGGTTATATTCTTTCCATAAAGAAATAAATAGGCCAAAACAAACAAACTATTCATAGCTCTTTAAGTTTAAATTTTATGTCTATTATCTCAACTGAATTAAACTTCATTCTTATACCTTGCCTCTATTACAATGAGGACAATGATTGAACTGAAAATATTTAAAATTGTATGGAAAAAGAATATGGTAATTGGGAAGCGAATTCTTTTACCCAATAAACAGTCGCTGTCTATAAATAAATGGCACAGCAAGCCGCGGCTGCGCAGTGAGAAGCTGACCAAAGCACGAAAGAAACGCAAAATGCGTCGAAAAGTCTTCGCTTCTTTTCTACTCTCGCTGATCATAGCAAACGCAGCGGCGAAGGAATAGTTAAAAGATTTTACAGAAGAAATTACCAAGAAAGTAGAATCGCGGCCCCTCTCGATACTGAGGATCAATAACATACGTGAGGTAGCACCAGCTGATGGCACCGAGGCGAAGGCTGGGCGGCAGGATCCTCAACCGCTATTATTGCAACAACAACAACTTTTGCAACAACAATAACTGCAGCAAAAGCTTATTTTGCAATTACAACAGAATCAACTGGATTTGAAAGAAAAGTTGGGGATACCAGAGCAGCAACAAAATCAACAGTTTCGTCCAGCGCAAGATCCAGCCGACTTTGGCGAATCCTTTGTCATTAAAAAAATTGATCATAGTCAACTATTGGCGCAAAAATATGCCACATCGGCAGAGCCACCACAGTCTCACTGCCCACATTATAACCACCACCACCATCACAGGCAGTATTATCGCCCCCGCCCGCCACCACCACATTACCATTATCAACCACCTCCTGCATATGGCTACTAGTCAGCTCGTCTAATTACTACTATCCAATGTCCTATCCCTTTTATCCGTCTTATTATAGCCCATATGGTAGCTATGATTACCGTTATCCCTATTGTGGTGGTTATTCAAATGCTCCATCGACATATGCTCGTTCGGCAAATACAGCAAGACAGAAGAAGCTTACAGCTCCGGCGTCCAGGAAAGGTCAGCGACGGGAGGTGTTGAGCACGCAACAGTAGAAAATACTGAAAAATTATAAGATTCATATATTAGTAAATGGTATGAGGTTCTGGAAAAAGCAATAAAATCACAGAAATCTGGAAGTTATTTTTTATTTCAAAAGGGGTTGAAGTACCAGGAAGTATAAACTGTTTGGATGGACATAAGGGCGATAATTGGGCGGATGGACGGACGTATGGAAGAACGGACGGAACGATAAGGGGTGGTAAGATTGTCGGATGGACGGAAAAATGAACAGAAAGACAGAGATTGGACACATGCACGGATTGACGGTTGAATGAATGCGATCGGATGGATGAAAGTACGACCGAACCACAGCTGATGGACGGCTGACAAACCGATGCACATACAAATGAACAGACAGAAATGTAATCCTGCATTTTTTCAGACATTGGAATCAATTCTTTGAAACCTTGACAATTTGATTATTTTTTAGGTAATATTTTCTTTGACATGTGTATGTGGGAGCACAGTTGCTGTTGGCCAGATTCTTTTTCGTTCCCTTTTAAAAAGTCAACCGGTATGAAGCCATGTGTAGAAATTCACACATGTAAGGAGAGTTCTCAGATTGTCATTAACGATTATTTTCATATGACCCAAGCATCTCACGACTTAGACCAAGTATTCTCTGGGTAGGCACAGAACATCCGTCTCCCAGGGTGGTACGCTGGGTTTGAGACCCGCTACGTAAGAAACACCTCCACTGAAAGGACCAATACAGACTCGGTTGAGACACCCTCCTTTCGATGGAATAGTAAGACCTCCACTTTGTTGCAAAGACCAGATGGAAAGCGCCTGTCGAAAAGGAAGAACGACTGGCGGGCTATTGTCAACTCGGTTATAATCACGTAAGCCAATAAAGAAGCAGAACGGCGGCCCTAATGCGAGTGATCTCAGAATATTGACATTTCTAAACCCACTGTGCTAATGGTGCTTAGCAAAGCGTCAACGTCAAGAAATGCAGCCGCATTTATAGTAATTAAAGTCAAACTGTTCCAAAAATGCGTAGAGCAACCCTAGTGAACTTATTTACCTCGCCTTCTCGCGATTTACATATATGCAAGGTACATGAGTATATTTCGACTGCTTAACTATTTACCATCTAACTACACCAAAGGCAGCGACTACACGCCGGCGCTCAACTGCCAACCCGTCAGCATTCAGCAATGTGTGTGTGCGCTTACCACACACCGCCGCTTCCGCTGCTTACTCAACTGCTTGACTTGCTAGTTATCACTTTGTTACAGCAGACAAATTTTCCTGCTTATTTAGTCATCTGCTGCATACTTGTAGTTGTTGTTGCGCTTGCGTTGTTGACAGATTCGCTGAGTGCATTAGGATGCAGCAAACACACAAGCCGAAGCTGATTGACATGTTAGATATGCGCAAATTGAACTGGAACAGATTGATGATGTTGCGGAAATTGCACTGCAAATTCTCTAATATACGAAAATGTATGCAACATGTAAACATATTTTTTATAGAGCAGACTTTTACACATTTTAGTTACGTTT